ACGACGCTGATGATTATTTCTTTCCACCCCTCCCCTTCTTCCATGTATTCTCCTCCTCTCCCCTCATTTCCTCTTCTCCTCTCGCTGCCTCCGCTGAGCCCAACCCCACTATCAGCATGAAGTTCCTATCAGCCCCAACGAGAGAGAGAACCTCCCCATTCCCTTCTACCTTGAGGTAACCAGTTCCCCCAAGAGGTGTACCTCAAAACTAACACTCTGACCTAGTCTGCCTCCGCCAGGAGATAATGCCTCCCCATACATATCTCCCAGCCCCAGCCCAGGTCAGCTCCCATCGTCTGCGTCTACTCCCTGGAGGGCAATCACCTCCCACCTTGTGTTACCCCTGCGGAGTAGCGCTCCCTTCCTGACCAACCTACCTACCAACTAGACCATAGCCTATCTGGGAGATGAGAATATAACCACCCACACAGAGATAACTACTGATTGATGAAAAAATGAATAAAGAAACCGTGATGATGATGATGATGATTGATGATGATGATGATGATTGATGATGATGATGATGATGATGATGATTGATGATGATGATGATAAAGATTCAGATTGGTAGATGATGATGATGATGATGATGATGATGATGATGATGATGATGATGATGAAATAAAATTGGCGAAAATAAGTAAGGAACGTCGGACTTGCGATGCCCTAATGGCATCGGTGTGGAAGATTGACAACTCACTATTGCTTCAATGAAAATAGAAGATGAGGATGATTACGGTTCTTACAGAGAAATCCGGATGATGATCATGAAGAAGATAAAAAGAAGATAAATAACATGGATGACAAATTAGAGAAGCCGATGATGATTACCACTGGTAACCAAATGAGGATTACAAAAATGATGATGTCCTTGATGAACCCCCCCCCGAAATCACAATGATGAAAATCTTGATGCTCTTGATGGATAACCTGCACAAGACAAAAAAACAGACGAAAGCACATATATAGGTTGATGATGACCTCCTAGCCGCTCTCTTGATGATACTCTCCCAGTGGCACTGTGATGATTCTTCAAGTAGGACCAATGTTCTCCGCACTTTGGTCTCCACGGGGCTGACTCCACTTCCTCCACCGACATCGACTTTCGTCAACTCACATGAGCTCTCCAGCCTCTTTAAAGGTCTTGGCTATGGAGTACTTCATTTGAAAAACACAGGGAAAATGTTCAAACAGCAGCTGCCGCTACCATTCTCCATTTTCCTTTGTGCCTCAGGCCAGATGCCACGTCAGCCTGTGACGTAGTAATGACCCAGCGCCTCTGGATACCGCGCGTGCGTCAAGCGCTATTCCCCATCTAATTCACAACATCACAGCACCCTTGCACCAGCGCCTCCCTCCCGTCGGCTGCTAGCACCACGCCATGTGCTGTTAGCAATGCCAAATTGCCTTTTTTTTAGAGGGAAATATAGCTAGCTAGGAGTAGCAGTTATGAAGTCGTAGCTGTTGGAAACAATGATAAACTTGGGTACACAGGTGTTTGCTCTCGTGTGGAGGGAGGGGGAGCGGAGGTAGTTGGGGCCTTTTTTTGATGGTTTTTTAATTGAAACAACGGCGGGCGGACGTGGCATGTTTTGAGTTCGCAAAGGCAGAAAAAACAGGCATCGGCAACTTTGTCATGGCCTGAGTCCGAAAAGGCGGTTGTAACTCATGCCGGCAGTGGTGTCAGGGTGGCAGTTTCGTT